TTCCCTGGGCACTTCACATACACATGTCCTTGGTGTGTTGGATTGATGAGGCAGGATACGTGCTGAACCCTTGTGACTATCAAGAAAAGGCCGACAGCATATTGGGAACGGTTTGGAGTATAAAATACTTTTGCCATGTCCAGAGTTTAGGCAAAGCAATCCAGTGGGCCCGGCCTTTTTATTTGTACGATTCTGAGACACTGTCTTTCTCCCTCAGGAAGACGAAGTCGTCCTGCAGTGCTCGGCCACGGTCCAGAAGGAACAGCTGAAGTTATGCCTTTCGGCCGAAGGCTTCGGAAATCGGCTATGCTTTCTAGAACCTACCACCAACGCTCAGGTATGTGGTGCCGGAAGGGAAACTTAACTCCATGGCCAAACTGGCTTGTAACTGGATCTGACCTGAACCAACCAGGCGGTTGCCAATGGGAGGATTATAAACTGGGCTTTCTGTGCTAAGAAACTGACCCTCACCCTGAATCAGAGCTTTAGTCCAGGGGTGTCAAAACATAAGGCCCGGGGGGGCTGGAAGAACTTACTCGGCCCGCAAGGAACTGATATGTCTGGAAATGTAAGGGACTCCTCCTTTTATGGTATCCTTTGGAAGATCGGCTCCGGTGGCCCAGGCTGGCCCGATTTCATCAAATCTCAGAAGCTAAGCAGGGTTTACCGGGTCAGTATTTAGATGGGAGACCACCAAGGAAGTCCAGGGTTGCTACGCAGAGGCAGGCCATGGCAAACCACCTCTGTTCACCTCTTGCCTTGAAAACCCTAACCTCCCGGGGGGGGGGGTCATCATAAGTCAGCTTGGCTTCACAGCACACAGGCTAGCCAAATCTTGGAAGCTAAACAGGGCCCTGTCACGGCTCAGGTGGGCTGTCACCTGACGCTGCCACCACTCTGGATTTAGGATCCCTTGAGAAGGCCCAGAGCACCCTCCCAAGACTTTCAGACTTCCTTTTTGGCCAAATAACAGGCGTGAGGACCAGGCAGAGTACAACAAGGAAAAGGTTTGTTTTATAGGAGGTCAAACAACAAGGTGCAGAATAATAACAGTAAGTGGGTGGAAAGAAAATAAATCAAATGCCCTAATG